GTGTAATTATGAACAAACAACATATATCTTTATCACACACAACATGTGTTTTGTGTAATAAAGACGTGTGTTATTTGTATATATTACGCAAGGTGATTTAGAAAAAAAAATTAAAAAAAAAACTTTTAGCATTCAAGAAGATAGAAAGTGACAATATGATTCTTGTCGAAATATGTAATACTGCAATATATAAAAATATGATACACAACTTTGGAACATAATAAATATAAACAGGGTAGACTTGTGCTTGTGAATACCGTTTCAATCCGAAGAAATGTATATTTAATTTTTTAATTCCACAGTCAAATTTATTTTTAACAACTAAATAGATAAAAAGAAATAATAATAGAAAAAAAAAAAAGATTGACAAAATCCAAACAAAAGTATCGGAAGCATCTATGCCAAATAGATCTTAATGTTTAATAACCTTAAACAATGTACATCGCGAAAAGCAATAGATTGCCATGAAATTTCTAGACTATATTGAAAGCCAAAATACAAACATTAATAAAATATATAACATAGAATATAAATAGTTCATAACCTTAAAGGAAATCAGTACTACCGTTGTAAGTAACATAGTGTAGTTGCAACATAAGCGGATGATGTTGTTGGATGCACTCTGTAAATACTCTCTGCTAAATGTAAGGATTCTCCAAATCTTACTACATTTCATGTTCTTCGAGGTACTCTATCTATAGGTGTCGATTTGTGTTTTTGGATAGGATTTATGCTAGGTTGAGTTGTGAGTATAACAAAAGTAGATAATTCGAACTCGATTTTCAACCCAAAATCCTAAACTTGAATATAATATGAATTTTTTCAATTTAGATTTAGGTCAACCGAACTTTGTTCAAGGTCACTCGATAACTCGAAGATCATGATACGAAATATACTTGAAAACCTCAAAACTGACATGAGACAGACCCGAACATTTAAAAATTTTAAATTTTCTAAAAAAATCCTATGGGAAACAAATTCTAAAACTTGATTTTTTTTTTATATTATTTTATTTTTTAATATATTATAACTTGAAATAAATAAAAAGTAATTTTAATTATAACATCATATTAAAATCAATTCGGATTTTGGGTTCAAATTGACCTGATTTTTTTAAAAATCCAAAATACCTAAATCTGAATCTAAACTTTTTTTAGATCGAACGGATTTTATTTTTGGGTCGGGTTCAATGTTGACACTCTTAATTTTGTCTTTTGTTGAATGTGACAATTCTTTGATTTAAAATAGCCTGGGATTATCATTTGATGCTTAAGGGGGAAGAAAGTTGATGCCGAGTTGGAATCTCTGCTATGAAAAATATATTAGTTTAAAGGAATAATGTGAAAATAAAAGTACCGTGAAATCGAATCGATGATGTTTTATCTCTCCAAAAACTAGATATCCCGGTAATGCCTCTAGTGGCTAACATTCTAATCCGAAGATAAAACAATTTCCGTTTATTATGAGAATGACAGAGCTTCGGCAAACAAAAGCGAATGAGAGACTGAGTTGGAGAGGTTGAGGGAAAATTAGAAGAGAGGACACGAGAAAAAGAAGATGTTATTGGTAAGTTTTAGAATGAAAGGAGAGACCCTTTACATAAGTCTCTCCACTCGGTCAAAATAGTAGGGTAATTACGACGATAATTACGATATTAATTAGTGATATAATCTATATTAATTTCAAATATTTCGTTTGAGACAATCGTAATTTACACTAATTTCAAAATTTTCGATTGGGGTTATAATAAATCTATTCACCAGAGCCTTAGATCTCGAGTTCGAGTCTCACTGTCCCCTGTTTGTCGTTGTTCACATGTAAGTTTCATTTGGTGACGTTTATTCTCTTGCACGTGAGAGGGGTGTGTTGGTTGATTTCTTTTTATAGATAAATAAATAAATGATACGTATCCCTAATAGTTTAAACTTTTAGGTGAGATGGTCATTCCAATCATCTAATATTTGAGACGATCGTAATTTATTCTAATTCTAAATCTTCATTTTGAGACGGTCGTAATTTACACTAATTTCAAATATTCCAATTGAGGTTATAAGAAATCTATCCACCAGATAAATTTTTTTATCCAAGTAGTCTTGCAACTTACGTCATATATCCGAATTTAACTTAGGGTTGCACAATTTGGTTTTATTTGGTTCACCGGTCCGTCGTATTTTCACTTATCGATTAATCAGTTGCGTAAAATTTTAAATCTAATTTTTTTTCATCAATTAAATAACCAATTTTCTTACAATCTACATTTGTGCCATGAATTTAGGCTTAGGAGCTCGATGTAACTCATGAGCAATTGCAATTCTCAACTCAAATTTGTGTTGAAATCATTTACGAAGATAGTGAAATATTTCACGTTTTGGGTAAGACAATCCTTTTGGTTAGACATAAGGTATTTAAATAGTGTAATTTAATATATTAATTATAATAGTTATAATATTATTTTATTAGTATTTTTTTTATATAAGTGGTGTTGTTAGTATTTTTAAAATAAAATTTAATAAATATATACATGATTAAAAGAAATTTAAAATAGGTATTTAAATATTTTATAATATTATATCTTAGTAATATATATAATATGAATATTATTTTGTAGAGAATAAATTTTTATATAATATAATATAAATAAATATATTTAATTATCTATAATTAACCTAAACTAATTTTATAAAAGATGAATAATTTTAAATATAGGTAAAGAGCAGCGGCTACTCTGCTGAATAGCTCATAAACAACATATAATATACTTTAATATAATACAAATACAACACATGACCTAATAACACGTGATATAGTCTCACACAACACAAACAATACTTGATTTCAGCACATGACATACTCTTCTACATTACACACTATAATTATAAACTAACAATACATACTTTTATTACAAATAACACATGTTGTATATAATAAATGCGTGTGATGTTTTTATATTTTACGTATGTTGATTTGGTGAATCAACATGGTGCTGATTTTCCAAATTCAGCATCCTAATATTCCACATAGGTAAAGATATTTATTTCTCGAGAAAAATGACAAAAGTAAAAAAATTTTGAAGTATAAGAGATTTGAAATTTAATTTAATTGATTTATATTTATTAAATATATTTAAGACGGTTAAATTTACCAAAAAAATAAAATAAATTATCTTATATAATACAAATTAAAAAGAAAAATGATCAGTATAATAATAATAATAAAGAAATCTAAAACAAAAATCATAACTTAAAAAAACAAGTTGTAGTGTAATTTGAATTAATTTGGATTTTAGAATTGGATTTACGAGGATTTTAAAGTATGAATTTGTAAGTTTTGTTTGTTTGGGGATTGAATTTTGTAATGATTATATTGGAAAAAATTATTATTTTATTGAGAGAGATGATATGTTAATGTGATAGGTTGAATTAAATGATATTTAGATATAATTGAAAAATATTTTTGAAATGGTCTAACTAAAAATTTGATGTGACGTTTTAAAAAATATAAATATTTTATATTATTAAATATAATATTTGTTTATATTGTGTGCGTAAAAGTTGATTTCATAGATAATTTTAATTAAATATAATATTTTATATTATTAGATCATAAGGTGTATATACTTGTTTGGTTTCGAATTTAATTTTACTATTTGATTTTTTTTCTTCAATCTAATTGACAATAGACTAAGGGTGTGTTCGTTTGCAAGATTTTGCAAAATTCTTACTATTCATCCAATTTTTTTCCCCCAAAAACATTAAATCAAACACTTATTTTTCATTTTTTATATTATACTAAAAATTAATTTTACATTCAAAACATCACATCAACCCCTATTTATATCACATCATACAACTATTCAAATTCAAAATTTTTACTATTCAAATCCCAACTCAAAATCCAAATCCCCAAACAAACACACCCTAATTTTCTTTAGAGTCCACTAAAAATGGGTGTGGTTATTTGTCAGATTTTGATTTTTGATTTTGGTTTTAAATTACAAATTTTTGTATTGAAATAGTTGTTTGATGCTCTATAAATATGTATTGATATGATATTTTAAATATATAATTAAAATTTAGTGTGATATAATAAATAAAAAAAATGGATGTTTAATTTAATATTTTTAGAGAAAAAAAATTGAAATAAGTAAAATTAAATGAAAAATTGTATAAATAAACACACCATATGAGTTGTGATTTTGATTTTATTATTTTAGATATTTTTTCAAAATAATAAAATAAAACAATTATTTTTATTTATTATATTATATTAAAATTTAATTTTATATTTAAAATATCATATCTTGAATTTGATCAGTTGTTTAATGTGAAATTAATATATGTTAATAAAATATTTTAAATATAAATTTAATTTTAAAAAAATATCAAAATCATCTTGCGCACTTCTACTAACCATTAAGATAATATTAATCCTTATCTATTACAAAAATATAAAAACTTACATTCGAGTGGGACAGAGAAATATATATATTTTTTTTATTGTTCATATCTAACATAAAACACAAGTTTGTTAAAAGAATATAAAACAAACACACCTACTGTATATACTATTTATGCTTCATTAACTGTTTTAAATATTCAAATATTAAAAAAAAAAAAAAGATTAATAGACAAATATATTTCATTTGTCTATTTCATATATTACATTTAATTTTTCATAAATTATATATTTCTCGAGTATAGTTATTTATTTAAATGTAATTAAAATTCAACAAATTATCAAGGCCTATTAGCTCAGTTGGTTAGAGCGTCGTGCTAATAACGCGAAGGTCGCAGGTTCGAAACCTGCATGGGCCATATAACTTTTGAAATCTTTTTTTTTCTCGTTTAACTTACAATAGTAGTAATATAATGCAAAGGTCGCAGGTTCGAGACTGCATGGGCCATACAATTTTTTCAATCTGTTTTTTATTTGTTTTTATTTTTTTTTTTAGTTTTGTTTAACCACAATAATAGTAATATAATTACCTTAGCCTACCGCGGATTTACAGAGCTCAAAAACCTAAATAAAGGGCACATCTGCGGCCGCCGAGCTAACTCGCCTCACCGGCGTTGTTCATCCTTAATCTCTCTGTTTCATCGTTTTCCAGTAAAGCAGGCGAACAGTGAAGTCGGCTTCATGGGGGGCGATGGAAAAAGGAAGGGGAGAGCAGCGAATAAGCGACAGAGACCCATGCCTGGAATGGCCGATGACAGGGTCCGAATCGATAAAAGAATGAAGAAATTGTTCCAAAAAAGGGCGAGGGACTACAACTCGGAGGACGATGAAGGCGAAGAGGAGGAACGCCTTCAGGCAGCGGATACGGCTGAAGTCAAGAGGTTGAACAAGAGCGCCGACGAAATCGAAGGCGACTTTTCGGAGGGCGGCGAGGAAGAGACTGAAGGACCTGATGAGGCTTCGGAAGATGAAGACGGCGCGATTCAGCCTGGAATCATGAAATTTGCGGACGGAATTAAGGCTTTCAAACTGGCGTTTAAGAAGATTGTTAGGAAGAGCGGCGGCGACGATGATGTTTTGGTATGATTCACGGATTTTATCTTATGTGCCAAATTTCGTTTTCAATGTTCAAATCAATTCATTCACATCTACGTGCATATATTGTGTCATACGTGAAGAAGTATAATTGTGTTTTCAGGGTCCTGTGTTATCTGCACATAAGAAGCTACTGGCTGAGAAGCTTGCGGAAGAAGAAGTAGAGAAAAAAGTGAAGGGAGAGGTTAAGAAGGAGAAGCGCCTGGTATGCGAGTCCACACCCTCAAACTCATTGTTTAGCTTTTTCATATCTAATTTTGATTGGCTGGCTTGATTGTTCATTCATTCTTACGAAGTTGAATGGAGGATACCTCAAGGAAAACTCATTCCAATCTTAATTTAGAATAATCATAGTTGTCAATAGAGCCCTAATAACAGTGTAGCAGTATGTCCCTTTTAAATTGGACAATATATTATAATCTTTATTACAAGTATATAGGGTAAAAAACGGGGGGAACTTTTTAGTGCAGTTAAATATGAAATGAGTTTTGTTCTGGTGAGACTAGATATGCCGTTTTACCTTATATAGGAATCTTTAGTTTGAAGATATGATTGGATTATGTTTTATGATATACGTGATAAGTTGAGTATAATTAGTAATGAATCGTATTCTTTTTAATTTAACATGTCCTTAGTTTTTATTGAATGGTTTGTTATGAGAAGACAGGGGAGAAGGGACATGTCAAGCCTGCAAACTACTTGGATGCTCACGAAAAGTTCTTGTTGGGAGTTGCTACAAAAGGAGGTAGACCTTGTTTTGCTTGTCTGTGTGTAGTTGTGCGTTGAGATTATTTTACAGACTAATTTTGGTTGTCGTTGTGTTGATTGTTAATGGTTGTTGATCAGTGGTGAAGCTGTTTAATGCTGTAAGTTACTACGCCACTCAATTTAATCATTACGAGAAGGTAGCAAGTGGTGCACTTGACATTGCTATTTTGTTTTGATGCAGGTAAACAAAGCACAGAATGCTCAAAAGGGTTTGAATCCGATGAGATCAAAAGATGAGAAGGGTCCGTTTAATTATGCCTGCTTTGAATCCCTTATTTATTTGGACTTTAATCATATGTTTATGTGGAATTTTATTACCATCGTGATCTCCTCTGTTTAGATCGTGAAGTCTATGATGCTTATCTATTATATAACTGATATCAGATTTCATTGTTAAAGAATGTGAAGGTCAAATGTTGACAAGCCCTTTAATGTGCGAGTCAAGCCACTAAATAAATTCTTTGTGCTGAGTATGTGAATTAATTGTTGTAGTACTAGTGTCATACTGGCTGAGATATTTACTTCCTTTCGCGTCTAAAGTTAGGTATGGACATGAGAGAGATTAGTCCCTCAATATATTTCTGCCTATGGGTGGGCAAAAAAATCGAATTGAACCGTCGAACTGTTGAACCGAATTTTTGGTTAACCGAGCAAATTCGGTTCAAATACAAGTACTGCATATTTGATATTTGGTTCGGTTCGGTTCGATTTTGGTTTTTTATACTTTTCGGTTCGGTTTTTTATACTTTTCGGTTCGGTTAATCGAACCGAATATATTTATATTATTATATTTTAAATTTTATATTAATAATTATATTCGGTTCGGTTTCGGTTCAGATATTTGAAATATTTGCAAATATTTGTATTTAATTATTTTTTAATATATTTAAAAAAAATTTCGATTCGGTTCGAATTATTTGCAAATATTGAAAATATTTTCGGTTAATCGAAAATTCGGTTAATCGAAATTTTCAGCTCGGATACGGTGCGCGATTTCGGATATTTGTTCAGTTTGATTCGGATATCAAATACCTGTGTATTTGCAAATAACCGAACCGTGCCCACTCCTATTTATGCCCAACAAAACATGTGAGGGTGTGAAGCTATGTTGATAACCAGTGAACATTGTACTTGCTTGTGGCTCGATAAATTTAAGTTGATTAAACACACTGAAACAGTTTCAAACACACACACATATCATCCCCCCACCCCCCCCACTTGACACTTTGTTAATGTATATGTTCCAGTAATAAAGAAGCGAAGGAAGGAAGTATTCTACTCTGAGTTGGGCACGGCACCATCACAGTCGACTGGAGCTGCTGCTAAGGTTCCTCGACTAAGCGATCCAATGCTTGGAAAATTTTTACTATCATCATTGATTTTGCTTACAATTTTTTAATTTCATTGTGCCTTGGCAATGTTCAGGTCGGCATTTCAACAGGGTGTGTGGATGGTGAAGCTCCGGCATGGGCACCTCTGCGTGATAATTACATGCTGACAAACCCCAAATTGAAAGATTGGGATAAGATGCAGGTAACTTGTTTTGTGTTCATTACATTATTTTGACTACTGCTGTGTTTGGTTTTAAGGAATCTGAAGATGTTGGTGAAGATAAAGCAAATAGAAGGAATTTAAAATCTTACTATGAGCCTAAATTTATGGAGAGTAATTGTTTAATGTGATATAAATAAAAATTTATTTTTAGCTTAATATTAAAAATAGATATTTGATTTAGGTTTTGAGAAATTTTTTTATGAATAGTAGAAATTAAATAAAGTTAGCCAAAAAACAAACATTGGGTGTGTTTACTTTTTTGTATGAATGTATATTTTATGTTAAGTACGATGAGTTGTGTCGGTAATATAAAAAAAATAATATTGTATTTAATTGTTTATTTTTTGTGAGTGGATAGAATGTATATTTTATATACTGTGCTAATAGATAAATTGTATTTTTTTGCAATATTTACAGAGAATTGTGCCATAAAAAATATAGATTGGGTGAATGATCCCATTCTCTCCTTTATTTAAGCTACATTTTCCATGAATTTGGGCATTTTTATGACAAAGGAACAAATTAGGTGTGTTTGTTTGGGTTTTGGGTTTAAGTTTTGTATAGTAAAATTTTGAATTGAAATAGTTATTTGGCCTAACTTAAATAGGCAGTGATGTGATATTTTTCAATATAAAATTTACTTTTAATATAATATAAAAAATAAAATATAGGCGTTTGATTGATGTATTTTGGGGAAAAAATTAGGTCAGTGGGGAAAATTTTTCAAAATCCCACAAATAAACACCACCTCTTTCCTAGTGCAAGCGTTGCATTGGTTCAATATTACGGATGCGTTTAAATCGAAATTGAAACACAGGCTAATGACTTGTACCAATTTGACATGTTCAAAAGCTGAGAAAGGACACAAAAATCCCCTCATGTTTTTTCAAAATAGACGTACACTGTTTGTATGGTTTTGGTTTGAAATTGAGGTTTTTCATTTAGGTTTTGGTTTAAATAGTAAGTATTTTTTTTCATGTAATATTTTGTGAGATATAATAAAATATATTTTTGTTGGAGGATGATTTGGATTTGTAACACAATTAGGACATGCCATAATGTAGTTTGAGCAATTTATTCTCTCCTTGACAAGTGAGAATTTGTTGGTTTTCAGGATACAAGTGGTGCCGGAGATGGGCTGGAGAGAAGTTCGGACACAGATTCTTCTTCTTCATCATCGGACGATGACAATGCTGACTGATTAACGGTCGGGTCGGTCTAGTAAGTTGTGTTGTGGCATGGGCCAATGCAATTTTGTTGAACAATACATATATATAACGGCAGGTGGCTAAGCTAAAGATCTTCTCTACGCCTCTCCACAGTTCAATTCACAGTTAATGTAATTTAATTCTCTTATGATTCCTATATCCTGAGTTTACAAATGGAATTGATTTCATCAACTTTTTATTTATTTATTTCTCTGTGTTTCAAATTTTCATTCTTATAATTAAGGTGTCCTTTTTTTTTTCTCTCATTTTTTGCCTTCTAATAATTTATTATTATTTTTTTACGTGATATCATTTTCTTTACAAAAATATTCTAGTGTGTGTTGTCTATGTTTTGTTTTGATTTTATAAATGGCGTTTATGAATCAATTGATTATTGAATATATATTTCTTTTGATAAAAAATGGTATTTGTTTGTTATAATATATTATAGTCTATGCTGATTATAGTGTCACAAACAAAGAGCAAACACATAAAATTAGTTACAGAGTTCGAGCACAAGAATTTACATTCAATCTTAGACGTTTTCTTTGGATGATCTTCTCAAACTCCTATTTAGAACTGTTAAACGAGCCGAGAGAGCTCAAGTATCGGTTGTTCGAGCTCAACTCGAATTTATTAATGGTATAGGCTCGACTCGTTAAGAATTCGAACCAAAATAATGGTTCAAGCTCGGCTTGTTAGGCTAAAATTCAAACTCAAGCTTGGCTTGTAAGGCTAGAACTCGATTTGAATTATATATATATTCTATATAATTTTTTAATATATAAATTAAATATATTTAATTTTATTCATAATTTTTATAATAAATTATTCAAATTTTAATAATAAATATAAATTTTGATATAAAAAAATTATATATTATATAAAATATATAAACAATATAATTATACTATCACTAACAAACTCAATTGAGCTACTCACAAGTGGGGCACAAGCTCGGCTTGTTTATAAAATAATAATTTTTGAACTCACAAGTGGGGCACAAGCTCGGCTTGTTTATAAAATAATAATTTTTGAACTCGAGCTTAGCTCACGAGCTACTCGATTCGTTTAACAGCAGTAACCCTACTTAGTCAGCATTAATTGCAGGTAATCAATTCACCGATCGGATAACACGTGTAGCAGCTAGATTTAGGCGAACTTTTCAATAGGGTGAGTTTTAGATGCACACTTCGCAAATATCTCTCAGATGCTCATTCACTACCTCACGTATTTCTCCAATTTTCCTCATCTATCCTTTTTTTACAATAAATACACTAAACTAAAGTATGCAAAACCCCACAATTCCTCAGCCAATTCACTATAACATGGCAGTGAACATAGGCACATTTGAATACCACCGTATTCAACCCAACATGGTTTGAAAATATCATGTCATTTTTTAACACGGCCATGTTGTCAGCTTTTTAAGCCATCTAATACGATCGTGTTCTAGCCAACACGACTGTGTTTAGCTCATGTCAACAATTTCCATTGAAAAATCAACAATGGGATCAAAATTGATCAATATTGTTTACATTGGAACTAAAAATGATTCTTTTCCCTTATTAATTATATTCTCTCATTTTTAAACTACTCCCAAAAACACACCATACTTTTAATTTCATATCATTCACAGAAATCACAATTACATTTATTATTCCTATAACACATTGAAGCTATCACTTATAACAGCATACATATTAATATACGATTAGCAAAAAATCCGTAAGCAATTTCCTTTGACATCCAAATTTGTAGTCATAACGAAGCACAAAATTAGAAGCGATGCTAATATTCGTCTTCCAAAAAGACTAAAAAATGTAAAGCATGTAAGTGAGTTGAGGTTTCATTCTCTAGAATGAATGTAGTAATGCAAGTGCCCATAAATAAAAGTAAAAGTAGTGTTTACCTTATTGTAGTAAAACATGGAGAACCCTAGAAGTTCAACAGGATAGGCCAGATCATCCATACAGCGCACGCCACGCCTCTTTGTTGTCACTTGAACTCTTGGTGACACTTTGGGACGTCTTTTCTTTGGAAAAACTAACAGATAAAGTGCTCGCCAAGAGATCCCCTATCTCACACGTCACCTGAAAGCTCCCAATCAGGACATTATTTTGGATAATATTGTCACTGAAAAATATACATACAATAACAATACATCTCCGTGTCAGCCAGAACTTTGATGCGTGCCATCATTGAAACAAGTATCAAAATGGGAACTCATTCATGGATTCTAATCCTCATCATCCCATCTATTTCAAAGTGTTTTGATGCACAAGGTTCCATAAAACAATCAACAAGCGTGAGGGGTGGACCAGAGGACTTCTATATGAATAAATACAAAAAAGTATCAGATCCATTCGACAAGAATGAACTTGGATTGAAACATAGGACAAACAATAAATATGTAGACTCAAGGAACAAGCTACACCATAATCTAAGGCCAGGATTACTAGACAGACACTGCCTTTAGGACTATTTAAGTATAAATTAATTTGTTGTATATATCCCAATAGTAAAGCAGGCCTATGCCAACTTACAAGAAAAAAGTAATGATTTCACATAACAGGCAAGGGAACATGAATATGAAGAGCAAGAGTTACACTGAGTTTCTTATAGTGCGCTTTTGTAAGAAAATCCAAGTAATATCCACATTCTAACTGATTCTTCTAGCATTATTAGTACAAATCTTGTTTTATTTATTTCACGCAAAAAAATAATTTGGCTAATGACAATAATACAAAAAAATTTTAAAGTACAACTAACACCAACCAGCAGCTTCCTCTTCTCAACTGAAAATACAACTGTTTCAATATCTTAAAAATCAGAGCATGGAAGGGAGCGAAGCAAATGTTTTAATTTACAATAAAACCTTCTATCTTATTATGCATCTAGCTTTCACCCTGAACAAGAGTATACCCTTGCGGGAAGGCATACTGAACCAAATCCAGATTGGTAAAAAGGTTGTGATAGTCTTGGATAACAGATGACTACAAGGAAAACTTGTAATATAAAAATTCCCTTTCCACTAACATTTCTAGGTGCATAGATACAATCTTGTTCCCAGGCTTACCTGACTCCTATTGTCCATAAAAGACACGAAACATTTGATGTGGAATTATAAGATAATGATAAATTGGGTTTAGTTCAGTTCAGTTTACTTCAATGAAATGCAATGCTAAAGGAAACAGGTCTCGATGCTGTAACTCGTCTGATAACTTTTTAGCAACTCATCCCAGGAATCAATAAATTAGAACTACAGGAGCAAAGTTGTCACCAGAAACAAAGTCTAAATGAGACTCAGAAAGAATCAGTATACCTCAATTTCCTCTCTGGCGGTTTTGTTAGATCGATGTTGATTAATTACGCCAACCAGCACAACCGTGGGAAGCTTCACAATGTTTGCCAAATGAAGTAACTCTGCTAAACCCTCATGATATATCTGCATATATGGTGGGGCTTTCTGCAACCTAGAGCTCAATGCCTCAGTTAAATCAGTTGTTGGACCAAATTTGATGCCATATACAGATACCATTTCACTTTCTATTTTATTTTCTTGTTTTAACTTGTATTCGGGAAGGATGAATGGAATTATCAATGATGGCATCTTAGACAAAGCATTTCTGGATAATTCTGACAGGAGTTCATTCAGAGCACAGGCTAAGATTGGAGGCTCATTTTTATGCAAGATCACAATGGATACCTGTGACATAGACAAAGAGTTGGGAGTGCCATTAGATGAGCAAGTTTGGAAGGTGAAAAATCAAGAATACAGAGAAAAAATTTAATGATTTACAATATGAATTCTAAAGCAGTAAAACTCTAACTGAAATAATTGATATTATGAAGCAATTCAAAAAACTTTCCCCATTGGGATTAAATCCTCAAGCTCTGCTACACCTATAGTTAATTTCATTCCAACACTAATCCTCCATAGCACTTAGACATCAAGTATATGATCCTTCTAAATATTTGTTCCTTTTTTAAATATCCACATAAATATAAAAACTTCAAGAATTACCCATTCCTCATCTCCTTTTAAAAATCAAACCTAATTCTCAATCAAACATATACTATGATATTTGAAATGTAAAATAAATGAAAATGATTAGACCAAATCATAAATATAAATATATATATATAAGTTTTATGTTTCCACAAGCATTTAGCAAAAAAAAAGTACAATTTTATTTCATTACTGGCATCCAAACAACAAACATTTTGGCAGGATGCTTTACAGTCTGCAGATTAACGTTCAAATATGATTCATTAACAGGATAGATTTGATTAAGGTTCCAATTAGTTCTCATCCCAAAATATTTCACAAAATGACAATAAAAAAAAATATGTATGTGTATATACTCAAGGAAATGGAAATGCACGCAAGGTAGCTTTTCAAATGGAGCAGTCAACCACAACTTGCACTAAAAATCTCAGACCAACCACCAAAATAGCGACACATAAATAATATGATACGGAATTCACTCACAATAACTTGTAAACAGCATTAAACCAACGGCAGAACTTAATGAAAACCACCTAACATATAAATGAGTATTTTCAGGCTTAATGAACCGGGGAGTAATGAGGAATACATAAAGCAGAAAACAATATTAACTGCAAAATATAGAACAACTTCCTTAGCTTCTGCAAATAAAATCAGAGCAATATCACTTGCAACACATATAACTATCTTAGGATGTGTTTTCATAGGACTATTTTTTCCTCTGAGAATTCACCCTATCCAATCAAACCAATTTTTGCACAAATTTTTTCTCAAAACTACTCATCACAAAAACAAACAAACCGCAAGCATCTGAAATTACTACCTTAGCTTCTGCAAAACAAATCAAATAAAAATGACCTGAAATACACGAAACTATCGGGTTTCCAGCTTTCCAACAATCAATAGTTTATTAGTTTCAGGTTGGTGAATCGTTCAATAAAGCATAAGCCAGAAATGGTGGAACACAACAAAAACCACGAATTCCAAAATATACAAAGAGTGCTCAACAAAATTTAAACAATTTTGCCAAATTCACTACGGGAAATGGCTATTACCTCATAACCGCCATCAGGACCAACAAAATGGATCATCTCTCCAATGGCATTTCGATTCACAAGCCCATATTGCTCTAGTGACAACTCGAACCAGCCCTTTCTGAAGCAGAAATCGTAAAACCACAAGTCACACCACGCACGACAACCAATTTTATCGCGGGCTAAAGGAAGAAGATGAAGATAATGACCGATTGCATCACTCACTCAACATTGAATTTGGAATTCGGATTTGGGTGGAGACCGCCGGAGATGGCTGCCGCGAAGCCGTCGCCGTCATCTAACATGAGCACCACTTTCTCGCCTACCTTCATTTTCACCTATTTGTGTTTGCTTCCGATGTCGGCTCTCTATTTTCTGTTTTCTTTTCTTAAGGCTCAAGTATAATAATAATAATTGAGTTGTTGTAACATTAATAGAGAATTAGCTAATAAAAATATTTATTTGTAATGTTAGTAGAGGATTAGTTGATAGAAATATTGATTATTTTTATGCTAATTACTATTTTATATTAATATATAGGTAGTAGAAACTTGTTTAGAGATAGTGAATTTGAGATTAAGATTGTGGTAATTAACTTGTCACTGAATACATATATCACATTGCTCGATAGTAAAAAAGACATCTACCTAATGTATACGTAGCAATAATGTGTATAACACTCTCTATTAGATGATTTTTTACAAAGAATGTGTTTGTCAAAATCTTATTAAAAAAAATTCTATGGAAAAAAATTTCTATGAAGAAAAAAAGGTACAACATTCCTATGCTTCTTTGCTTCCGCTGATCAGTATTATTTGAGATCCTGACGCATTCCAATTTTATTTACCAATTTTCAAATATCGCAGTTAGTAATGTCTTTGATTAATATAACCGTCAAATTATTATCTGATTGAATTTGTTGCACATTAATTTAACAATTTTGTTGAAGATCATGAATGAGAAAGAACTTTGTGAAATATAATTCAATGCATTGACAAGTAATCCCATTGGTTGTTTTAGCACTATCCGTTGATGGACACCAACATTCGACGAAGTGGTTGTGATCTAATAAATTTGTAGCTGTGTGATCCAGAAACAATTAATGCAAATTCACAAAAGACATTGAAATACTTATGTTTATCAAATTATACTTGTATATGAGTATAAATACTTTCATATTGAATGAATAAGCCTTTTTATTGGATAAGTACGCCTCTTGTCATAATCAATATACCAGGAACGTCATTATATAATCATATATCGATGCACATGACTATAATTTTCTTTAAGCCATTCATCCACTATAATTAGTTATAATATCATATAATGGTGAAGATCGGTCATGCCTAAGTTTCAGTCTCCGTGTTCAACTAAATATGGGTGAATTCAATATTTTGCAAAGCTCATAGGATGATACTCCTCCATTGGAATCGCCTCCAGCCCTAGTAAAAATACGGTAAACAATCCAAAACTCAAAACTACTAAAACAACATTGCAATCCTGAATTGAACACTCTATGAAGGTGTTTTTCTCTCTTGTGAGCACTAGCATCAACACTGTAGACAACCCACAAAATTAGAACCACCAAAAGAACATTGAAGTCCTCAAATGAATGCTCGTCGGAGGCATTGGATTCTCGTGTGAACCTTGGCAATATAATGGTAAACACCCAACAAAATTAAAACAACCAAAAGGACACCAAAGGCTTCAATCGAACGCTCGCCGGAGGTGTTTCTCTCTCGCACAAAAAATAACATAATTTGGTGAGAGATTAATAATTGATAAAAAGAACTTGGGATTGAGAAGAGGACAAATTTGAAAATATGAAAGGGGTAGGGAGTTTATATCAAATATTTTAAAAAAATGGGAGTGCAGTGCGTTACAATTTTAATTATGGATTGAATTTAAATCTAACTGTCCCATAATAATAATATGTTTGGGAATTAATGTATTTTTAATATTTCGGCAAAAAAAAAAACTTATAGTTTGCGAAATTTACTAAATAGATCTCATAGTTCTAAAATTTAGTTTTACCTAATTATGGTTCAAATAATGGAGATTGTAACAAAGTGTTTAAAGTGTTGAGTATTACAAATTCACAAATAACAAGAGATGAAGAAAACTAATTTTAATAATACACATAAAAGTATTTTTTTGTAACTTTCTCTTTTATTATATATAAATTTGTAATAATACTCCCAATATTATCTGAACCATACGTAGGTAAAATGAAATTTTACAGACTACAAGAAGAGTTTTTGCTATTTTGCTTAATATATATATTATTTTTTTATGTGAATATTTTTTATATATATACAAGTATACTATATCAGCATCAAAATTTATAAAAATTATATAAATTAATTAATAAAAATATTTATTCCATAATTCTATAAATAATGTGAAATTTATATAAATCAATAAATAATTTAATTAAAGCTATTAAAATTCATATAAATTAATAAACAAAATAAGACATAAATTCTATACAATTTTTTAAATTCATCAAAAAAAAAACTAAATTAAAAAATCCAATAAAATTCTAATTGTTCGATTATATTTTATTATATAATAAATTGTATAATAATATAGGTAAGTATATAAATATATAATATTATATATATAGACATATATAAATATATAGGTAAGTGTAATAAATGTTAGTGCAGTATATGTTTGACGACAAAGAGAGAGATTGAGTAATGGATTGTGATGATTTTATATTGAATGAATTGATGATGTACAATTGCCTATTTATAGGCAAAGTTCTGAGTAGGCGGTGTTGGAGGAGGTTGTAAAACATCATCTATTAGCTACGTAGACAATATGTATGATATACGTTTTTGACATTTTCCTTTGAATGTTTTATACAAAGAATGTACCTTGTTAAAACCTTATTATGAAAAAACCTTGTGGAAAAAAATCATAGTGAAGGAAAAAGAGTACATCATTCTTGTATTAATGCGCTCCCCTGTTTTGGACTTTATTTGATATCTTTCATCCGATGCATTCCAATTTTTTGCACAAATTTGTTGAATGTTGTAGTCGGTAGCGCCTTCGTAAGTAAATCTGCAAAATTTTCAGACGATCGAATTTGTTGCACATTAATTTCACCACTTTCCTAAATATCGTGAGTGAAAAAGAACTTCAGAGATATGTGTTTTGTCCGATCGCCTTCAATATATCCTCCTTTTAATTGAGTTATGCAAGCTGCATTATCTTTAAATAATATTGTGGGAAGTAATATATCATCAGAAATCAAGCCACAATATTTCTGAATGTGGTGAATCATAAACCTCAACCAAACACATTCACAATTGGCTTCTTAAATTGCTAAAACCTCAGCGTAGTTTGAAGAAATTGTTGTTAATGTCTGTTTAGCATATCTCCAAGAGATTGCGATTTCACCACAAGTAAATAAATAGCCAGTTTAAGATTTTGCTTTGTGTGGATCAGATAGATAACCAGCATCAGCATAACCAATTAATTCATTTCGAGATTCACTCGAATAAAATAAACCGAGGTCATGAGTTCCCTGAAGATAACGAAAAATATGTTTGATACAATTCCAATGGTGCTTTGTGGGGGTTGATACAATTCCAATGGCGCTTTATGGGGGATGCACTAAACCTGACCAGTAGATTTACTGAAAAAGATATATCTGGCCTGGTACAATTTGCAAAGTACATTAATGCGCCAATAGCGCTAAGATATGGTACCTCGGGGCCAAATATTTCTTTATTTTCTTCTCTTGGCCTAAATGGATCTTTATTGGAATCAAGGGATCTGACCACCATTGGTGTACTCAGAGAGTGAGATTTATCTATATAAAATTGTTTTAATACCTTTTGGGTATATATGGATTGATGAATAAATATCTCATTATTAACATGATCCACTTGTAATCCCAAATAATATTTTGTCTTTCCAAAGTCTTTGATCTCAAATTCTTTTTTTAGATATTCAACTGCAATTTGGATCTCTTCTGGAGTTTCAATTAAATTGAGATCATCAACATATATTGCAATAATGACAAAATTTGATCTATTTTTCTTTATAAAGACGCATGGGCATATTGGATCATTAGTATAATCTTCTTTTATTAAACATTCACTAAGACGGTTATACTACATTTGCCGTAATTGTTTAAGTCTATACACTGACTTTTTCAATTTGTATGCTTCAAGCATATTGAATCCCTCAGGAACTTTTATATAAATATTAGTATCCAAGGAACCATAAAGATATGCAGTAACTACGTCTAAAAGACGCATATCGAGCTTTTATCGCACTACTAGGCTCACAAGGTATCTAAAAGTTATTCCATCAACAACTGGAGAGTATGTTTTATCAAAATCTACTCCAGGTCTTTGTGAGAATCCCTAAGCCAAAAAACGGGCTTTATATCTCATAATTTCATTATGTTCATTTCTTTTTCGTACAAACACCCATTTGTATCCAACTGGTTTTATACCGTCTGGTGTTTGAACAATTGGTCCGAAGACCTCCATTTTGTTTAATGAGTCAAGCTCTGATTGAATCGTATTTTTCTATTTTGGCCAATAATTTCTTTGCCGACATTCATGAACCGATTTTGTCTCTGGATCCTCATTTTCTTCCATCATATCAAGTGCTAAACTGTATGCGAAGGCATTATCAATACTTGTCTCTTTACGGTTCCAACATTTTCTTAAAGTAACATAGTTGATTGAGTTTTCAATAATCTCATCATGTTCTTCAAGATCGTGCTCTTCTGGAGCAATTATTTTAGGATTGACTTTCTCATCATGTTCTTCAAGATCATAGTTGATTGACTTTCTCCTGATATTTTCATGATTATCATCATTCATTCATCTTTTCTTTCGAGAATGTGTCTTTGAAACTAAGTGGTCTACTGCGCTTTAAGCGTGTCATTGATTCGTTAGCACTTGAAATTTGTCCATCGAGGACAATTATTTTAGCCGGAGCATTAATAGCTTGAATATATGATCGAGTGACTTTTCTCGAGTCATTGAATGCATCTGGTAACTGATTTGCAATATTTTGCAAATGTATAATGCGTTGAACTTATAGTTCACACTGGTTTGTACGAGGATCACAAAAATTCAATGGAATTTCCAATTAATATCCCTTTTTGGTTCATTTCTGTCTTCCCCTAATGTCGGAAAATATGATTCGTCAAAATGACAATCTGCAAATCTTGCAGTGAATAAATCAACCGTCATAGGCTCAAGATATTTTATAATTGACGGAGATTCATATCAGAAATAAATGCCCAATCTACGTTGAGGACCCATTTTTGTACGTTTGGGGGTGGAATAGGAATATAAACAACGCACCCAAAAATACGTAGATGAGATATATTTGGTTCGTGACCAAATACTAATTGCATCGGGGAATAGCTATGATAGCTTGTCGGCCTTATTCTTATAAGTGTTCCTGCATGTAAGATTGCATGCCTCCAAGCTGAAACGGGCAACATAGACCTCATGAGTAATGATCTAGAAATCAATTGTAATCTTTTAATAAGTGATTCTGCCAGGACATTTTTTGTACGAACATGAGCAGCTAAGTGCTCTACATTAATTCCAATCGACATGCAATAATCATCAAATGCGTTCGATGTATATTCACCAGAATTATCCAGACGTATAGTCTTAATTGGATTATCGGGGAATTGTGCCCGTAATTTAATAATTTGGGCAAGCAATCTCGCAAATGCCATATTGCGAGTAGATAATAAACAGACATGTGACCATCTGGTAGATGCATCAATAAGCACCATAAAATATTTAAATGACCCACATGGTGGGTCTATTGGTCCACATATTTCCCCATGTATTCTTTCCAAAAATGTAGGTAATTCAATACCTACTTTAGCTGGCGATGGTCTGGTTATCAATTTTCCCTGAGTGCAGGCAACACATGTTAACTCATTTGAATTTAACACTTTTTGACCTTTTAATAAATGGTCATGCGAACTTTCAATTATTCGCCTCATCATTATACTGCCAGAATGCCCAAGGCGATCATACCATATTTGAAAATCGGTAGTCGTTTGATCTACCATAAGGTGTATTTCAACAACACCTAATCTGACATAATATAAGCCAGTAGAGAGTGAGGGTAATCTCTCAATGATGTCAATGATATTAGTGATCAATAAAAATTCACTATCAATATCACTCATAGTTTCAATGTGATAACCATTTTTCCGAATGTCATGAAAGCTCAGTAGATTTCTTCGAGCTTTAGTGGCCAGCAGTGCATACTTATCCAAAGCCTTAATTTTGCACTGCCATTTATTGTATTGACAGTCATTCTTTCCCTTTTCAAATGGGAGAAATATTTTTTGTGTTTCAATATAGTATGTGTCGTTGCACTGTTAATGAAACACATATTTGCATCATTTTGATTGACATCCATTTAACCTTCAAATATAAATAAATGCAGTATTAATAAAAAAGGCAGATATAAGTATTACAAAATGTATTACAAAAAGGTAATATACAATAATTTAAATATTACAAAATATGAAATAACATAATATAAAATGACAGTATGTGTAATACCTCGATTTTGGAGTGTATAAAATAATATTATTATAGCAAATAAACATTTTTATAATATTTTGGAATAAAAAAATTAATACTCTGGAATAAATTTTATTCCTATTTTATATATTAATTATGATTGAAAAGACTGTTAAACGGATAAATATCGATAAGAATAATCATAAAATATAATACATATATAATAATATTAATGGTGATGATGATAATAATAATAATAATAATAATAATAATAATAATATAATATATAATATATAATAATAATATAACTATATGTATATATAAAACAAACCACACCCATGGAGGAAGGGCGAAGCAGAAGAACGCGAAGGAGAAAGAAGAAAAAGAAGAAAGAAAATGATTTAGCCGTTCGATTTTGATTTCGATTTTGGTATTGTATTCATTGTTATACGTAGAATTTAATTATGGATTTTAATATGAATTTCGATATTGGAAATATTAAATTAGAAATTCTTCAAAAATTCATAACTGGCTATTTGGCTATTTAATCGGCGAATTTCTTTAGCTAATAGCCTATTCGTAGTCCTAGCATTATATTCTGAGAATTTCGTACCGAATCGAAAACGGCAGTGTATTGCACCTGCTTGTTTATTCATATTTTTAAGTATTTTTATTTAATAATCGGGCAATATAAATATTATGAGGTATAAGAGTTTTATAGCTAGAATATCGTAGTCTACTAAATATAAAAGTTTGAAACCCAAAGAGCTAACTATAGAAATTAGCTTTTGAATAAGCAGGTAGCTCCTATGTATAAGCATATAGCTCAGCTGATTTGAGTAAATAATGGGGCAGGTGTACGTAGAAAGAGATTTGGGTGAAATTTCGAAAGCTAGGGAGTATCGATAAGCAGTAAGGAATTAAATCTAATTTTAAGAAATTAGGTATGCATGTTGCATGCGATTCTGATTAATATGTTAGTGTGATATTATGTGAAACATTTTGTCAGTGCATGTATATATTTATATATATATATATGTGTGTGTATGCATATGGGAGACTTCACGGTTTATGATATTTGATATACGTATTTGATCGCATTGGTGAATTTATGAAAAAGAGGATAGGTGAGCTGTCTCACCAGCCCTTTTCGGTAAATTCACTTATTTGGCATGTTGCACACATATTGCACGATTTATCGGATATGATTTATGGATCTATCGTCTAGTCGCCGTGTGCGGTAGTGCTAGGCGAGGGCATCATCTGGGGTTAGGATATTCGACTCCGATGTACCGTAACACTTTGGCGATAGTGGACGATAGTAGTCGGGCAACTGGGTGACTTAGTCGCACGGTCATTCAGGGATTAGACCCATTGTAGTTGAGACGTATTTGGTCTAATCATTTGTGTTCGGTGTTGTTCCACTCATTAGATCTGCACCTAGTGAGGTCTACCGGTAGTTTAGGATCATATGCCAAACTCCAAACGTGATCCCGTTAGGGCGCGCGATGAGGAGTAGAGTTTCCGGGTTTCCCTTGGGTGATTCCAGGTTGCACGGATTCTACTACATTACACGGGATAGGGCTAGTCAGTGGGGGTCCTATCTTCGCTATCACAGACTATGGGGCGTCTTGTGGTTAATGGCGACAACGTTCGGCTATCCATGTTGATTGTGGGAGTCGTATGGTGGGTATATGGAAATATGACCGGATGACCGTTATATTATTATGGGTTTATCAGGTCCTTCCTTGAGCCGAAGATTTTCCGGCTATTTATTGATGATGGTCTAGTGAGCTTGTTATTACGGGGCCAAGGGTATTCCGGCTGCTCACTTAGACAGATGTAGTGAACTTATGATTATATAGCCGAGGTTATTCCAGCTACTCACTTCGGCGGATGTATATATGTATATGTGTGGATGTGCATTGTTGTCGAGTTTGATATCTGTATTGCATCATTTCACTATTGGCATGACATGACACGTATTTTATGATTGACGGGAGTTAGACTTTATTTTAAAAGGTATGACATGACGTATTTCACGTTAGTTCTTAAAATGGATTTAATTCTAGACTGCTTTTAAGAAAAAAAAAATATTGTTTCAGGTATGCATGGCACATCCGAGGCATGGGACGTCTCGGGATATAGAAAGACGGGCTGAGTGAGTGAACTTACGTCTATTGTATTATATGTATATTTTTAACCGGAAAACCTCTTGTTAAGGGGTGTGTTTTGTAAATATTTGTAAATCAGATTTTGGTATATAATAATGCGCTTTTATGGTTAATTTAGCCTTAACACTGTATTGTGGGGCCCGAAATAGGAGGTGACGACCTCATGATGCAGTGTGGTGGTAACATTTCCAGTATGAGCCAACTGGGGGTGTTACAGTATGTCTGCCACTGGGGATTTGCTGGATCTACGATAAAATCCGCTATATCAAGATGCGTTGTGTCGTAATCCAGAAGATCATCATCAGGGTCGTCATCGTTATCAACGTGATTAGTCTCGACCTCTTTCCTTTTTTTTCTGTAGTGAGGCTTGATAAAGATCGGCTAGGTGTTTGGCTGTTCTACAGGTATTGGCCCAATGGCCTTCAATTCCACACCGATTACAAATGCCGATTTGCCTATTTCTCTGTTTAGTCTTTTCAGCTATATCCCCATAATGGGTTTACTTTGCTTTCTGTTAATGTCAATACCGCGGTGATTGTAAGAGGTATATCAACCGCGTTGACTCTCACGATCGCGACCACGTCCACAGCCTCTACCACGTTCTCGGCCTCGTTCATAAAATGTCACGTTCGCTTCAGGGAACAGACTGGAACCAGTGGGCCGAGACTGATGATTTTTCATCAATAACTCATTATTTTGCTCAGCTAATAAAAGACATACTATGAGTTGTAAGTATTTTTGAAAGAAAATTCACGATACTGCTGTTGTAGCACAGCATTAGAAGCATGAAAGGTAGAGAGAGTTTTCTCCAATTTATCATTCTCAATAACATTTTATCCGCAGAGTTTTAACTGAGATGTAATATGATGGATAACAGAATTGTACTCTGTAATAGTTTTAAAATCCTGCAACCGCAGGTTAAGCCAATCATGTCGGGCTTTCGGGAGAGTGATATATTTCAAGTGCTCAAATCTCTCTCTTAATTCATTCCGCCAAACCCAGTGAATCTTTCACCGTCAAATATTCAGACGGTAGAGGAATGTCCAAATGATGACGGATGAAAATAATAGCCTTAGCCCAATCTTGGCATGTAGCCGCATTTTTATTGGCAATTGTATGAACAAGGCTCATAGAAACTAGATGCATTTCTACATCCAGGGACCAAATCAGAAAATTATTGCAAAATAAAATAGGCAAGAGTCTTTGTGCTGATAACGTGTTATATAATAACTAGTATAATAATATAGGTAAATATATAATGTTAGTACAATATATGCAATATTATATATATTACATATATGAATGTATGTTTGACGACCGAGGAAGAGATTGAGCAATAAATTGTGAGTAATGAATTGTAAGGATTTTATATTGAATGAATTGATGGATGTATAATGGTCTATTTACAGGCAAAATTCTTTGTAGGCGGTGGTGGAGGGAAATGGTAAGACATCCACCTATTAGCTACGTAGACAATTTTTGACATATTGATAATTTTTTAACTTTTAATATTTTTCATCAACATTTTTTTTTTAAAAAAAACAAAAATATATATATCTATCAAATACTCAACTCTTTCACAAAACTTCACAACAAACACTAAAATTCTACTATTCTTAATCTTTTTCAAAGATCCAAAACTCCAAAAATTAATGCCTAATCGAGATATTAGATGTGGTTTCTTTTTCTTTAAACAGAGAGCATCATCCCTCCATCCATCCATTCATTCAGTCATTATTCATGATGAGAAGGCAAAGCAAGCAGTAGCAGTAGCACATAAAGAAAGCCTCAGGTCAGGTCTCATCATATTACACAATAATATAATTCACCAGCAGCAGCCACCACTACCGCGCCACCACCACCACCACCCCACCACCGCATTTAGAGACACAAGAGGAAGAACTCCCCAATTCCCGAAGATCATCGCTCCATTTTGCTTCCTTTCTTTTCCCTTACACATGATATATCATCCCGACTTCAATGAGGCTGATGTGCGGAATGTGAAGAGCAACTGCCGGCCCCCTGCAATTCTTTCGCAGGAACGAATACCCAAAATCAATGACGAGTTTCTTCAAAAATGAAGACGACCTCCTAGCCTTGATGTACGAGTGCCCCATTATGTAGGCAACGCCGGCTTCCTTCGCCTGGATCAGCTCCATAAGCTCGTCTCTCACAGATGGATCCATCCCATGAGGAGATATTTGAAACCTCACTTGTCGCCTCCGTATCTGGGGATTCTCATCGTCATAAGCCGACCTCAGACTTTGCAGGGTTAAAGATTTACTGCTGCTGCTGCTTTGGATGGAATTGATGACTCCAAAGTCCTCAACCTCAGACACAACCAAGCTTGATGCAGACTGCAATGTCCTCGAGCTTATCACTGCCATCCGCCCGTCGTATGACACTGAGTCGGGGCTTGAGAACTGAGGCTCTATAGCTTCCATTTGTATGAACTCGGCTATACTCTGTATCAGCTGGTTTTCGAAGTTACCATCATCTCCTTGCAAGTCCTTGTAGCCGTATCTCACAATGCATCTATACATGCGATACGGTCTTGGGCATATCCGCCCAATCAGGAAGCGTTCCTCAGGTGCAACGTAAGGCACTGGAACATGCTTTACACAAACAAACACCAAAACGTTATGAAAAGCAGGCAGGTTTGTAACAAAATGCGAAAAGATTGCAGGAACTCCAGTTGCCAGCTCTGAGTATATGAGACCGATCCCCGGGACGCGCACAATACCAAGGCTGGGCCCCAAACCAAGTATCCATTTCAGGGGCACCTTGTTATGTAAATCAAAGTTGTATTTCCGGCGAGTCCCATAGTGCCAGACAAACATGACGAACATAAAGATGAAAGATAGGACAATGGACACCCACCCCCCTTGAGGAATTTTCATAAAGGCCGCCGATAGGCAAGAACCTTCAATTAACCAGAAGAAGACAAGGAATACAGCAGCAAGTACTATACTCCTCTGCCAGACAACAACCATAACAAGAGCCATGAGAAAAGTCGTAATGAACATCACTGACATGACAGCTAGGCCTGGCAATAATAGAGAAGAAGACCTTGATAAGAACCAAGTTTAGTGTTCAATGTTTAGAAGAGTAATAGCAGAAATAGAAAATGAATTACAACTAATTGTCTGTGAGGAGGTAAGTAACAGCTAGCCTATTAATGAGCTACATTGATTATTCGCTGTACGAGTAATAACTTAGCCTCAAATTACTAAAATGGTTAAAAATTAGCCTCTATTTGCATCCTCTCTTCTCGAAATTCAGTCTCGACTACACACTATCATAAACTATGCTACACAGATAGTAGCAGTTAACCACATTCTTGTGCAATGGTTAAGATTTTATATGCCAATATAAAATAACATATGTAGTAATGTCTGGTATCTATTAAAAGCATTAGGGAAAAAGGGTTTAAAATTCATGGACTTACCATACGCATTCCCTATATTAGTTGTGTCAGTGAAACCAACAGCCACAGCAAGAGTAAGAACCATGAGGATCCAGTTTATTTCCGGTATATAGATCTGCCCATAGATTTGTTTTGAAGTGTGAACCACCTTCACACGAGGAAAACAACCAAGTGCATGGCATTGCTTGATTATGGAAAAAGTAGCCGAAATTATAGCCTGACTAGCTACAACAGCCGCAAGAGTCGCAATGATAAACACAGGCCAAAATACAGCACCTACAGAACAAGCACATCTTTACAAAAACAATGGAAAGTCAAAACACTGCTGGAAATATTTATGCATGAGGGGAAAACAAACCAGGAACCGAATCATAGAAGCTATTTGAAATTGAACTAATATTTTTTGACAAATATGCAGCCTGGCCCATATATTGCACTACCAAGCACGGGTACACCAGAATCGTAAATGCAATCTGCAGATTTAAAAAAAAAAATGATTCAGATTAGAAATGAGTCGCAGGCAAACATCAGAGTATGGTCATGAAGAATGAGAGATCAATACTGCTGTTGATCTCTTCAACTCATATGAATTGGAATCCACAATGCAAACCATCATTAACTGACAAGATATTCATTTTCCACTTACCAAAAAAACCAACATATGATAGCTTTCCATTTGAATTTTAGGAGTAATAAATTTTATAGGTAAACCAAGTAAACCTATCATACTACAAGCAGTGCTTTCTTATATCATACAGCTACCTAAGAATCTCGCTATTTTATATGTTGGTAATCAAGTCAAACATTTTATCCAACTCTCAGGAAATAGAAATTTTCTCAGTTGAATACTGCTCAAAAATCAGCATGTACCCTGATTGAGCATGCAGAAAAATGGCCAAGATCTGCAAACATTGCTTCAGTACCTGAAATGAAAACATATAGATAGGTTCAAAATCAAATAGCATACTCCTTGCTCAAACCATGGTAATGAAATATAAAGAATTGCATGTAAATAGCTTCATGACATAGACATCGAAAGAAAGTGAACTAATCACCTGTAATGGACAGGAGGACCCCTCCAAGTGAAATCCATCCATCTCTACCAGTTTGACGAAAGAATTTGATTATATAGTGAGGTGAAAGAGCTACAACAATTTTTGGGTTCCAGTGTATTGTGTTATATAGTCCAATTGCCAAAATTGATATCAACCATACGATGACAACTGGGGCAAACAGGAAGCCAACCTTATGGGTACCACAGTGCTGCAAAGCAAACAGTCCTACCAATATCATGCAAGATAGTAATCGCACCACACCTACATGTAAAGCTCATAATAAGGAGCAGAAAAGTTGACATTTTAATATATATATATATATATATATGTGCAACAAAATTTAGTGTATTGGAGATCTACTAGGCAAAATAGACACAATACCCTGAGGCAACCCTATCTGCGCAGCTTGAAGCCCTGATACTGATGATAGTACTGAAAGGAAGAAGAAAATCCACATGTTACTAATGAATGTTGAAAAGGTTCAGCTCATGGCAGAATCAAAACGCTGAGTGGTAATTGATTGTTTAAACTTTAAAGTTTAAACTACTGAAGGGTTATGAATATGAGCTACATTCTCTGATTAGCTAATAGAGGGGAGTCATGTAAGTGGGTCGTGTAAGGTAAAATTGCTAGGTCTTATTATAACATCCGGAAGCTTAACATTATAGGCACTTTAAATGTGCCTACAGTTACAAACAGCCCCTGCATCTGATTGCTAAAAGGTTGTCCTAATATGAGAGCAAATTGAGGATTTTTGCTTTTTTGAAAAAGTAGAATTGATTAACACAGTTCAGGTGATGCATATCCATCATTTACCTGACATAGCAGGAGTAACTACACCATCACCTATTACCATACCAGCCCCCAGCAAAACCACAAGCAGCAATGCCGTCCGTAATTTTTTGTGTTTCTCTAGAAATCTTTTCAATCCTACAGATGATGAAGGCTGTCTCGAGGGCCCATATTTATAAGCAGAAAGTTCTTCATCAGCTGCTTGTTGATTTGGAAGTAAACTGAACTTTCCATGCCTACAAAGCAGGGAATAAAGCGCAAATGTCCCACCTGATATAATTGATAGTTTGTCAAGATGGATAGAAAAGTACATAACAATCCTTCAATAGAGCAAATTCAACCTACCTTCACCATTATCATCAGCAGCCAAAACAATAATGATATATTTGAGCAGTGGAATCAATGTCAAGATCCAAAAGATTAATGAAAATGCCCCAAATACTGTGTCAGGATTCTGATGATTCTGCATCTTCCCGACAAATATACTTTTGTAGACATACAGCGGTGAAGTGCTCAGATCTCCATATACCACCCCAAAGCTTTGATATGCAAGTATTAATGAAGCAGATATGTTTGCATGGAAGAACTGCAGTGCAAGAACAAGCAATATTGTTTTTAGATAACTGAAATAAATTTTTTACAAGTCCATATATATGCACATAAAAAGTATCCATCTGTTCCTTTCTAAATTTGCAGTACTCTAGACCAGAAACACCAATTAAACTTAAGGATAGATAAGCTTGAAGAATAATCATCAATACAAAAACAAAAATGAGTTCGGATGTGCTCAAATTGCATATGAGAAGGACAAACTGATTTCCATGAGAGAAAATATTGATAAACAAATATCTAAAAGAGATTATGAAAGGAGCCAAAGAAAATCTTTACATCAAACAAAAAAGAAGTGCTGTTCCGAGTTTCTAACATGCTTACGCAACCATTGACACTGAAAACAATTTCATTTCCTGACTAAAACAGCCAGAGTGTAAGGAATTTAACAAATGATTAGTAGATGCTATCTTATACAAGATTAGGAATACTAAATTATATCATTATACATGCCTACCTGAAATCCAATGGTTTATTAGTAGTACAATAGACAGCACAAGAAACTTGTAAGCACATACCTTGGAGGCTGACCTCATCTTATAGCCGGATCCACGCGTCTGTTCATCTTCCCCCTCTTGCCTGCCAGCATGAAGTGAATCCTGAGCCTCGGCCAGGACCACTTGTGGTTGCAGGTTGGTTCTATCTTGTTCAGGGATTTCCATGCGATTCATCTTCCTATCAATTGTAATGAAATGATTTCCTTAAAAGAGTCCCACAGCACAATTCTGGCCACACCATTATCCTCAAGAATATTAAGAAATGAAGCTTTGTGATAACTTGTAAATCCAAACTAGCTACTACTTAAGCAGCTGTTCCCAAGCAAATTTACGACCCCCGCAAATCGTTAAGTCAAAGCTACAGAGAAACAGCCATGACATATAGATTGCAACAACACAAGATGAACAAGGTATCATAAAATGATGAATAACTAGCGTCAAATGCAAGCCTAGCTTAAAAGAGGAGCAAAGCATTCACAACCCAGATCCTTGAATAACAATATAATTAAAAATAGGAAAGAGGAAAAGGGCATCGGAAATGATGGAAATCGGAGGTGCATAAACAAACCTGAGGAAGTAACCGCGGAGAAAATTCAAGCAAGGGCGATTGTGTGGCGAGGCAGGCGTAGGCGTGAGTCAATAAAGCATACAGAAACAGGGATAGTTGGTTGACATGACGATACGTGTGGCATCCGTGATAAACAACAATCACAGAGGAAAAGAAAAGAGAAGAAAAACCAGATAGATAGATAGATTGATTGCAAAAAAACGAAGAGGAAAAGGAAGAGGAAGAGGAAGAGAAGTAGATGCGAAAATGGCGACCTCGGTCTGTCTGATTGTTGTGTTGTTCACCTGTCTGGACCCGACCCGACCCGACCAGATCTGCCAAATAAAAAAACCCTAAAAAAAAATATTATAAACATTACCGCGACATAGATTAGATATATTAATATTAGTAGTAATATTAATATTAATAAATAAATGTAAATGCTTAAAACAAACAAGGAAGTCCACAGCCACCAATAATGCGATTAAATTAATTGATATTGAAGTGTGCTTGTGTTTTGGAAGGTGAGAGAAAAAGAGACCATTAAATAAATAAATTCGCAGTTGATTGAAATTATTTGAAATGAAATATTCATTTAATTTTTTATTTAAATAATATTTTATTGTGATAGGTAAAAATAATGATATTATAACGTGTGTTAAAAAAATAATTTGAATAATGATGTAAATATGATGTAGACGAAAGATATAAAAAAATAATAAAATAAAGAAGCTCTAATGTAAAGTATAAATATTTTTATTTTTTGTTGTCTAATTAAAAATAAAGGAAAAAATTAATTTTGGTCTCAATATAAACAAAATTTATCGATTTTGGTCCCAATATAAAAAAATTCATCAATTTTGGTCTCAATATAAAAAACTCATCAATTTTAGTCCAAATATAAACAATTTCAATCAATTTTGGTCCAATTGTAAACAATTTTAATCAATTTTGGTCATACGGTTAAAAAATTAACGGAAATTGCTGACGTGGACATGACGGAAGTGACGTGGCAGTTGACCTGGAAAATACACGGCCATGTACAATTATACATGGTCATGTATATTTCAGTGTATAATTATACATGCTAATGTTGTTACACAGCCATGTGCAATTATACACGACCATGTTGTTACAGGGTCATGTATATTTCAATATATAATTATACATGGTTATGTTGTTACACGACCATGTACAATTATACACGGCCATGTTGTTACATGACCATGTATATTTCAGTGGATAATTATACATGACCATGTTGTTACACGGCCATGTATAATTCTACACGGCCGTGTACCTTTCTGTTTCGATCTAAAATTTTAATTTTTTGTTATATTTTTAATTTTTTTTAATTTAGAATATTTTATATAGTTAAAATGGAAAAAAATCAATAATAATTATAATATAATTAAAATATATCAATTTTAGTTCAAATACAAGTATTTAACGAGTATATTCTTTTGGAAGATTTTGTCTATAATTCTACTATTTAGCAAAAAAAACTCTCTTACAAACATCCAATTAATGTATTGAAATAATAAATTTATTTTGAATACTACTATAATATACAAAATTAAAAAATAGTTGTGTAATTGGATATTTGTAAGAGAAAATATTTTTATGAATAATAAAATTTTAGACAAAATCTTTGAAAAGAATATATCTTATAAATTTTAATATTTGATTTAAAATTGATAAATTTTAATTATATTATAATTACTATTGATTTTGTCCATTTTAAGTATATCAACTATTTTAAATTCAAAATATTTTTTTTTTATAAAAAATATAGAACAAGAAAATAAAATTTTAAACTAAAATAGAAATGTACATGGCCGTGTATAATTGTATATAGCCGTGTACTTTTTAGGTCAACTGCCACGTCACCTCCATCGTGTCAACGTCAGCAATTTCCGTTAGTTTTTTAACAGTAGGACCAAACTTGATTGAAATTATTTATATTGGGACTAAATTTGATGAGTTTTTTATATTGGGATCAAAATTGATAAATTTTGATTATATTGGGACCAAAATTGATGAGTTTTTTATATTGTGACCAAAATTGATTTTTTCCCTAAAAATAATCATCTAAATTATTTTAGTATTTTTTTATATATAAATATTCTTATTTTACCATCATTTATTACTTTTATACTGAAGTAAAATTATTTCTCCATTACTTATAACTACACTGCAATTAAAATACTGTTATTTTTTTAAATTCATACTAAAAGTAAATATTTATTTGTAAATTAGACAAATATAATACTCCATTCGTCCCAATATAATAGTCTTGTTTACCATTTTTGTCTGTTCCAAAACAATAGTCTTATTTTCATAAATAATCATATCACCGTAGAACTACCCCTGCTTTTTCATTTTTATTACACAATTGCTACTACTTTTTACACTAATACACTCACAAGGGAAAAAAAAAAAAGTCTTTTATTCATATTTTTTACCCACTGTCAATATAATATCAATATTTGTTAAATCTCGTGGTCAACTCAATTAAAACTATATTTGTGGGACGGAGGGAGTATATTTTTATTAAAAATTATAAAAATTAATTGTATTAATTTTAATTTAAAATAAAAACAAACCGTGAAATGTGTCAATTTGTGTATTTTTTAGTAATATATGAATCAGATTGAAGAATAAAAACAATTATAAATACGAATATAATCCAAATTTGTTTGATTGATGTTTTAATTTAATTTAGTTTAAATTTTTATTTAAATAGTATTTTGACGTGATATTTTATAAAAAAATATATATTTTTATTCAAAATTGTATTAAATGAATAATATTAAATTTGGTATAAAATTTTAAAAAATAAAACCTAAATTTTATAACTCCAGCATGTAAATTCAAACATGCTACTATACTAGATTTGGTAAACAATTTTTCAAGAGCGAGCTTTTAGCTGTTTGACATTAAATCAGTTAATTTTAGTGTTTGATAAATTAGTGTTTTTAATTAGATTATTAGGTTCAAAAAACTAATTTTTAAAAAACTGTATATACCAACCTTTCAAATTAGCTTTTTCATTCTTTAATATTAATCAATTCTTTTTACATATATTCATATATTTTTTTATTACACTATACTATAGCAAAGGGTGTGGGTCCTACTTTCTTGATTTCTGGCATTTTAAAAATATGGATTTTATAGCGTTAAAAAATAAAAAGAAATACAGTCAAATTTTACAGTTTCTTTGTGGTTTTTTTTTTTTTTTTTTTTTTTTTTTTTTTTGGCAGTTTCTTCAATTTTGTAATCACACGTATTTCTTTGAAGATGATTTCAGATTTCGCTTTCAACCATTTGGTTTTAAGAAATTCATTGATACGTATTTGTCTCTTCAAAAAATTTTCATATTTTGCTTTGGGTTGAAGAATTTGGTTGAATATCATAGAATAATTTGTATTAAGGTAATTCAATTGTCATTTATACATCTCATAAATTCAGAACAATTTTCAGATTTTCTACATTTAATTGTTAATTATTTTATTTCAATTTGTTAATTGTTACTTTGTTTTATTTCAATTTTTTCTTGTGATGCAATTCTCGACATTGATGATGCTGACCGTGGAGTGTGGATGCATTTGGATATAAAGTTCTCTTAACTATGCCCTATTTCTTGTAATTTTCAATTTAAACGACATAACTATGTCATATTTCTTTTTCTGAATGATAGTGGTTGAATTAAAGCAAGTTAGGACTCTCGGCCTGTCTCGGATTTGGTGACTCTTCCTTCTATCAATACTATATTTATTTTATATTTTATTTATTTTGCAGATAAATAACTATCTATTGAAGAAAATAGAGGTAACACATAATATTCATTTATGATAAATTTTGAAGATACTTTTTTATTTGTTTTGCAGATAAATTAAGATGGAAATAATAAGAAGAGAAGAAGGTAAACATATAATATATATTAATATTTTTAATATATTTTGTAGATATTTTCTATTTTATTTATTTTGCAGATAAATCACTGTTAGAAAGAAGAATGTAACACATAATATTTATACCATAAAGTATAAATATAATATTCATATAAAGATGTATTAAATAATATAATTATATTTTATATTTTTTCTATATGAATTTTATTTTATTTTATTTTTTTATTTATATTATGTTATATAAAGATATTGGATAATATAATATTGTTCTATGTAATTTTTCAAATTTCATTTTATTTTTTATTTTTGATATATTTTGATTTTTACAGATTTAAAAAAATATAATTAAAATTAAATTTATTTATTTTATTTTTAGTATTAATTATGACTAATCATTTTAATTTTTAAAATTGATAAACAACAATTTATATTAAAATATAAATATATAAACACTTGAGATAATATTAATTATTTTCTAAATATTAATTTTTCAAAAAAATTAATTTTTTAAAAAATATAAAAAAATCTTTATTTGATAAAGATTGTTTTATTTTATTTATTTTTCTTTTTTTTTAATCATACTTTATATATTTTTATCACTCAAATATTTTATTTGATATTAATTAATTATATATTATTTAAAATTAAATTTATATATTTATTAATTGAATATAAATTTTAATGATACATTAAATTAAAATTAAATTTGTATTTTTATATTTTTATATTTGTTCTTTTATTTTAATAATTTGAAATAATTCTATTTTATATTACATTTTATAAAATATAGTTTGTTATTTGTGAAATATATATAGAAAGTAGAAATATAACATTCATAATAAATATAATTATTTGATATATTTTGTAATTTTTACAATTTTGAATCAATCTTATATGATTATCTACTAATAATTTTATATATTTTAAATTAATAGTTTACTTATTTCAATATCTGCACTATAAAATTAAAATAAATAATTATTTATTATTCTTCTAAATTAAAATTAAATGTAAAAAATAAGTGTTGATGTATTTTTTCAACAAACAAAAAGTAAAATTCAAAAGATATGAAAAATATCTTTAAATTTGATTAATTAATGCCTGAGATTAGGAATCTCTAAACACTGTACAGTACATAAAGAAATTAACTGGAAAACAAAATGCTGAAAATTTAAAAGTGGTGATCCTCAAATCTGACTTTGCTTTGTTGAAGTTGATTGAAGATGCCTTCTCCAGAAAAATCCAAATCCTTAAATATTTCTTGAAGAAAACGCTTGGAACCGTCGCCTAGTTGGTTATAGCAACCGCCCACTAGAAACGTTTTGAAATATTGCCTGGTCAGTTACAGCAACCGCCCACCTCCTTTATTGACACGTGT